CGCCGTTGGGATTGCCGCGCGGACCCGGATTGGACGGCCAGATAGTCCGCAGCGAGCACCACACCGCGAACCGCATGCAACGAACCGAAACATCAGGAAGCAGCACGGCCGTTGGGATTGCCGCGCGGACCCGGGTTGGATGGCCATGTAGAAGTTTCGGGAAAAAACTTCTATCTGGCCGTGCTACCCGGGCCCGCTCCACAATCGCAACGGCCGTCACCGGCTCGGCCTGCCCCGACGATCTCACACGGTATCTGTCGGGCCCGCCTGCCAGTCCCACCGTGTTTCCCAACACTGGCGAGCGGGATCTCGTGGGAGCGTTACCCGAGACCCGCTATTCGCTTAAAGATGTTAAGGATATCATGAAAGGCTTGCAATATCACGCTGTAGACCAGATAGTCGTGTAACAAGGAGAAAACACCATGCACCGAGTTACAAGCCAAATAAGAGCAATATAATGAACTCAAATGTCAATGTCGACACTCTCTCGCCACACCAACATAGTATCCAAAGTCGCTCTTCTTGATTGGCGCTCAGCGCCAAGCCTATCCTACTCAGCTACTATCTTGGCTACTCCTACGTATATGCAACAGGAGGCACTTCAAGCTGAAGACCAGTGTACTTGATGACGTCGCCAATGCAGACTGCCAGCATACACCAGGTACGTGTCTCTGCTCCTCTCACCTCACCCCCTTCTCCCCCACATGCCTCTCCCCTCACCCGAAGACCACGATCGCCCGCCAGCCTGCGCCCCAGCAGCCCGGCTATGGCCGCCGTGCGCCCGCTGCCACCGCAGCGCCCCTCTCACCTCATGCGCCGTGTGTGCCTCTGACCAGCGCCCATGCAGCCTGCTCGCGCTATGATGTCGCAGCGTGGCCGCACGGTCTGCCAGGCCAGAATGTGCCTCTACTGGGCGAGGCACTTGCTTATATGGAAAGTGCAGCCCAGCTCCTGGCTGCCTGGGCCTGTCATGCAGGTGGCCAGTAGCTACACGTTGGGCCGAAGTGTCTGCGCCCAGGGCCATTCAGATACTGGCCTGGGCCCGCAGCAGTTAAGCTACCCAACTGTGCGACGTGGCCAGCGTCGCATGCTGCATTTCCATTGGCTGAAAGGCCTCTGGCCACGTCGCTTTCCGGCTTCCCATTGGCCGAGAGACATCAGCCGCGTCGCTGCTGGAAAGAGCCGTAGGGCTAATATGTCGTGCTCACATAGGCGTAGCCCTGTTCTGGTGTCCCCACTGTGCAGAAATGACAAAAATAGGGCCCCATCATGCCCCATGTCTGAAATCAGGCCCGCCTTCACTTAGGGCGAGCACGATGCTTGCTGGGGGCCCCTTGGGCAGTGGGGGGGGCTGCGGCCTAGAGGCCACTGCGAGGGGTCGTTCCTCGCAGTACTATACTGATGAACAAATTGCTGGTGAGAGCGACTGGCGAGATTCTTCTGGGTCCGCTGCTGTCTGTAGCTCTCTTCCTGGGCATAATGTTTCCTGCTGTTCTGGTTGTCTGAGCTACTACTCAGCAGCTCACTTCTCATGTTGAGGACCAGGTTGGTCTATGTGTTGAGCCTGTGTTCAGCGGGGCTGGATGTGTAAGGTGTGGTGACTCACATGATGGTGTCAATTGCTGCTTGTCTGCATCTGGATTCCATCCCCAATATTCAGCATCCGCACTTAGGAGCCTCCTTTCACAATTGAACGCGTTAATTTTGAACCAGAAGTTGGGCATTGTGTTGGAGATGTCTCAAGAGTGAGACGGGCATCGAAATAACGTACATGACAGTGTGCATTTGTGCTTGCACATTTCACAAAAGTGAGAAGAGCATCGGAATAACACATGTGAGGGTGTGCCTTTGTGCTTGCGCGCACAGGAGAGAGAGAGAGAGAGAGAGAGAGAGAGAGAGAGAGAGAGAGAGAGAGAGAGAGAGAGAGAGAGAGAGAGAGAGAGAGAGAGAGAGNGAGAGAGAGAGAGAGAGAGAGAGAGAGAGAGAGAGAGAGAGAGAGAGAGAGAGAGAGAGAGAGAGCAGTGCATCTGATATTTGTGCTGCATTGCTAATGTGTCCTCAGATAACTTTGTCACTGCCTCTGCTTTTGGCAAACTCGTTAGACCAAGCCACAGCAGCAGACATTTTGCGGGTTTATAACATGAGGGAGGCCCTGAAGCTGCTAGACTTTGATGATGAAGAAAGGTAACTGGAATGGATCCCCTTTTTGTTTCCTTCCTCTGTTTCCTGACTCTTCCTTTTGTGCCTCTCCATGCATGCCTCTTATCTTCTTCCTTCTTCCTTCTACTTTTCATTTTGCCCCCGACCCACTTCTGTCTCGTGACTTTTCTTTTCCCCCTGCTTGCCTGTTAGCTACTCCCTTCTTTGTTCTTCTTTTCACTCGCCCTCCCTCTTCAGTCTGTTTCCCTCACCGTTCTCTTTTCGTCCTCCCTTCTCTTATCTACTGTGTTCTCCTTCCGCCTCCTGCCTGTTCCTTTGTCTCCCATAGTATTATTCTCCTTGGCACTTTGTTATTGTGCTTCCTGTTTTTTTTTTTTTTTTTTTTTTTTTCCATTTTCATTTAACGTCTTACCAGGACCCATTCTATTCTGTTAGCATCCGTCCAATTCACCCCTCGGCTGGACATAGGATACATCCTTCCCGTCGTATTTCGTTGTGTTCCTTTGTTTTTCCTGTCGTGCCTCAACAGTCCTCTTTCCTTCTTCCTTCGCCTTCTCCTACATTCTTCCTCCATGCCCTATCCCTCTCCCTTCCTCTTTTTCTCCTTCCCCTTGTTCTCTTCTCTTTCCTGCTGCTTGTATACTGCATCCAATTTCCTTCTCTCCCTTCACCCTTTTTCCTATTCATTTTCCTTTCCCACTTTTTTCTTTTTTTTTTGACTTAAACAAAGCCCCTTCTATTCTGGGGGGCATCAGTCCGGTTGCTTATCACCAGCAAGCATGTTTCCACAGCACAGAAGGGGGGAGAAGATTCAAGATTTACTGCGTTCTATTTTTTTCGTTGTTCCCGTTTCCACTTTGTTCTCCCTGTGACAAGTTGAAATCTTGATGCAAAACTCAAATTCGAGACAAGAACATGGATAGCAACACAAATATGAAGAGTAGGAGAGAAAAGAGACAGAGTAGTGAGAGAGGAAGAAGAAGAGGAACGTGAGAACAAAGATACATCCAATGTCAAAGTTCCCCCTCAAAAATAGTATCACCTTCATATCTCCTCCTTGTCTTTTATTTTTCATTAGTGAAAAAGGAATACATGATTGAGAATGAACCTCTCCCAAATTCCCTCACTGGTAGCACTACTATACCCAGTGTGTCATTTCCCCCTCTAGCAGGATACACACAGGACAAGACAAGGGAACTGCCTCACCCTCCCTACTAACACTCTCTCATCATTCTCATGGGCGGAGCGCCCTCCACCTACCCTACAAGGGGGTCCTTGACGCATCGCCACATTTGGGAGTGATGATGATGGTTGTCTGCCATAGCCAGAGGTAGGTCTTCATCATGGCTTCTCCCTCCTTCCTCCTCCCTGACTCAGCAGCCCTCCTTTTTCTACATGCCCAATGTGTGCACTAACCCTAATTACCTTAGCCAACCCTTCTACTTCTTCTTACTACACATCCTCCATGGCCATGGTCGTCATCTCCCTCACCTTCAAGTTCTCCCTTTAAAGGTTGCTCTAGGCGTTACCTCACCACTCCCAGGAGCTGTGTCACGTGCTGGGTTCAAGGAGGGGTGAGAGGGAGTGAACACACCCACAACCTACACTTTGTCGCAGAGCTCGACTGGTACGATGAATGGACACTCAGTGAGAATAGTGCCAGAAGCAACTCAGTGTTGAACTGGCAATCCAATGGCCTGAAACGGAGTACAGCTCAATATGTCCCACTTATGGGTGGGATTGGTATGTATAAAGCCTAATGGTTAGGCTGGCGTCAGTTGTATGTTCAGAATAAGTCGGCACCAGGAGGGTACCAACAGAAAACGTCTGAGGGACACAAAACGTAAAATGTACAGTTTCTGTGGACATGCCAGAAAAATAATTGTCCACTATCGAGAATGAGGTCCAGGGATCGAGCCCAGATTCCATAACAGGCTGGACATCATTACATCTGTAACTAGTTGGTATCAGACTTATATGCCTGATGTCTGCCCAGGTACAGTGTGGTACATTACGGACCACAGTCTGAGAACCGTGTATCTTCTGAGGAGCCATTGCCTTCCTAGAAGGTTTTTACTGTGATTTCCATGCCTGAGGTATTTTTCCTTCCTTGGATGTGAATGTGTGTCTTTCTGCAAGTCTTGGGTTGCCGGAGTGTGTCTGAGTACTGACTAATCCAGTGTTGTTGTTCTCTGTCTCTGAGGGAAATAGAAGATCAGTAAATAGGTGTAGATATTGGTAGTAGGATTGAGATTTGGTAGTAGGATTTACATGTAACTGTAGACCAGTGTGATGAACCCAGTCTGACAGATACTCAACAGTCGTCAAACACCAGTAGTCTCGGTATCTGCAGCACAGTCTCCAATTATGGTGTAATGATATCTGAACAATATCTCGTTACCATTAGAGGAAGAGAGTGGAGGGGGATCAGACAAAGGAGAAGGTGGAAGAGATGATAAAAGATCACACAAGAGTAATCCCGTCAACCCCACTCCTTCTCTGGGCTTCTTCCCTCTCCACGTCAACGACCAGTAGATGACAACAAGTATAATAATCCCGATCACACAATAGTGCCATGTGGCACTCCTATCTCGTGAAGACCATGAAGACACAGCAGATTACAGTGACGACGTCAACCTCAGGTGAGTACCCGATCCCAATCATCCACAGATCCCGATCTCGCGCCTCCTTGCAACCAGTCACCGCATGTAGACAGCGTGGACAATGCCATGTCAGCAGCCGAGACAGGTAGCATATGCCACATCATCAACGTAGACCTGTGGCAGCGCCACATCAGCATGCAATGTAGACCAGATGCAGTGCCACATCAGCATGCAATGTAGACCAGAGGCAGCGCCACATCAACATGCAATGTCGACCAGAGGCAGCGCCACATCAGCATGCAATGTAGACCAGAGGCAGCGCCACATCAGCATGCAATGTAGACCAGAGGCAGCGTGTTGCATACCGTATAGGTGCAGACCAGAACAAGAACCGACCTTTCAATACAAAGTATAAGATAGCACAGCGGAAGACTTAGATACCAATGATCCGAACAATCAATATTG